GCCATTTTATAGCACAATCAAGGAATGTTACCGTTATGAAAATTAGACTTTTCATCATAGGCTCTCCTAAAAGGCTACAGCGAGAGGTTCAAGGATTGCTCAAACATGCAAAGGTTCCTCCACTTTAAAACAGTACAGTAAATTGCAACAATATGGATTCCACTCATGAATCTGTGTGTGTACACAAAATCAGCACATTGGAATCAGAGACGATGCGATAACTCAGAAATAACAGCAGTGATGCAGAAATGACATGATTTAATCTGGTACTATGTGATGCAGACACTTTACTCAACTTTGATGTGAAAGGACGGAAATTTAGATTTCAGCCATCACTTTTTGTCTGATTAATTTGTCTAATAAATATTTGACCACTTGGGGGCGCTCATCGAGCATTGAAATGTACAAATGTCATTTCTGATGATTTGATCATTCTAAGTATAAAACATACAAATGAAGGAATATAAAAACTCCATCCCTCTGGTCTCCAGCACAAAAACGTGTACTTTATTTTTTTTACCTTTACATCCACAGAAGTGTTTTTCAAAAAGCCAGCAAGCATGGTAAGATAAGAAACTGGACCTGAATACCAATTTGTTCAATTGTATGCATTGGCTGCTGGCTGTTACTTGAAATGATTTTATGTTGACAGGATGTCATATAGTCTTGAAATTGCATTGCAAATTTGCACTCAAGTGGGGCTTTTTAGGAGAAAGAGCAAAGTCTGCTTCCAATTTTAGAAGAGAATATCGATGGATAGTAATAAGACCCAACATGAGTAAAATATCCCATCTCCTTTTAAATACAGCAGTACAAAGGACGTTTTAAAGTAACTGTCAAGATTTTTGGATTTTTGTCATATTTTTTTTATTATGGGAGGTTTTTGTTTCATAGTTTCTGCCATTTTAATTCTTCCTGTTTTCTGAATAGTTTGTCGGGGTTATTCCTGTCAGTGTGTTTGTATTTTGATTATTTCATTTTTGTTTATTTATTAGTGCTGACACATAATATTCAGACCCTTATATTTATTTTCAGGTCTAGTTATGCTGGTTCGTTTCTTTATGTCTGATTTCATAGTTTATTTTTGAGTTTGACTGTTGTATTACTTTATTATTCTCTTTACATTGACCCTGTGTCTTGGATTTCTTTTTATTATTCATGCTCATTAGGTTCATTAGATCTATTTGAGTTTGCTGGTTTTTTTCACTGTTATCGTCTGGAACCGGTTGCTATATTTTTTCCTCATCTTATTTTTTGTTGGTTGATGTTTTATTTAGTCTCAGTTCAGTTTCCATATCTCCTACCTCTATTTCCCTGCCATGTTCTTTAATTAGGTTACGTTCACACAGCAGGTCTTAATCCTCAATTGCGATTTTGTTTGCTAAAATCAGACTATTTTTTTCTTGGTAGTTCACAATAATTAAATATAATTTTAGTGTGAATTGCTTACCACCCTAAAGGGAGGCAAGCAAAAGAAAAACATTCACTGAAGAAAAACATTGGCAAGAGTATTCTAGATTGTAGATCATAACAAGAAGGATGCTAATAAGACAAAGCACAATTCCTTTCTGATTTTGTTCCATACTTGCCTGCTGAAGTTGAAAATTAGCATCATAGGGAAACTTGGGCTCATAAAAGACATCAGGCCAAGAAGACCGTGAGCTTGTTGACTCACTTGATGACAATACATCTATAAACATATCCATCCAAGGAAGAGTGGTGGGGACTTTGGAGTCTTGAACAAGATCAAGAACAGTAGAATATTTGTGCTTCGTTATAGTGGTCTCTTTGTCTGCTATTTCTGAAACTGAGGAGGAAACATTTTAGGGGTTGGCCAATCCCCACAGAGAAAATGGAAAGCGTTGACCACTTGAATGGCCAGGTAGACCTCCACAGCAGGAATGGGCTCCTTATGGGAAAAATGCAAGGCAGCACACCAATCAGAAGTGTGCAGAATATGCCTGCCTCTCCAGATCCAGGGTCTTTTGTCATCTTCTCGAGAAGAAACCACAAACTCATCTTTGTGGTGGGATCCTTCTATCATGTGGTTTAAGATGATGAGAATGGACTGCAAGACCAAGTTAAAGTGAAAATATAAAGTTTCTTAGTGTCCAAAGTTGTACACAATGCCAGGATTCACAAGTGAACAAGATATGAATACAAACTCAGGTAGGTGAACTGTGACTTGTCAAAAACAACAACAGCAACAACAATGCTAGTTGCCGTCTTATTGGTTAAAATTCAAAAGACTGCTATTATTATTGTCCAATAAAGCTGTCTTTCTATATATTGTATCATTTCTGGTAGTGAAAATACATAATTACCAGGGTTTTAGTAAACTACTTTAGCCATGTTAAATTAATACAAGAAAGATGAAGCAAAGGCATAAATTCAAACTGAAAGGCTCTTCAGCCTCACCTGCATCATCCAATCTTTGCATTATGTTCATCCATCGCCAGCCTATCAATATTGGACCATGCCCCATCATAGCCAATAACCAATCAAGCTTCCATTCAAAAGGACTTTCATCCATGGCATCATCAAATTTATAGCCACGCTCAAGCAAGTTGGTATGCATTCCTTGTCAGACTTTAAGTCTGACAATCTAACAGGTTCTTCACTCATCTCTCTTTACTACCCTAGTCATTCTACCTCCTGTCCTGCTTCCCGCAGCGTTCACCTGGCTGCACGCCTCCAATCCCCACTCTCACTCTCTCTCTCTCTCCAAATTCGAAAGTTAAATTCCAAATTCAAGCTCATCTGCTCTCATCCTCACTTTATTCTGAATTTCTTTTTACGTTTTTATTTTTATCAACCTTCTCTAAATCCACCTTAAAAAGTGGCTGGCTATGTTTTGGCTCTGGGAAACTAAACCTAACAGAAAAGCAAACCACGTTCACCGTGTATCAGAAAATGCTGAGCAATGACGCAGACATCCACCACATTCATCTAAAGTCTTGTCTTCACCTTTCTCTGTCTGCCTCTTCTCCCAAAAGGCCAACTGACTGACTCCGCCAAACACTGACACGATGACTTCTTGACGCCTCACAAAGTGGCCGTTGGAGCTGTCATATCACCTCATGCAGCAGGGAGGAACAACAATATGACAGCGGAGTGGTTAACAGTCACAGAGACTATGTGTGTGTTTGTCATGAGGTTAAGAAGAGTTTAAGCTTCCTGAGAATAAAAAAGCTCTGGTTTTAATGATCTCTCATGTCTTTTAAAGACGGTTGGAATGCATTAGTTTTAAAATAAGCCATATAAACGCTTTTTGTGAAAACAATTGTTTCATGTGTGAAGCTATTCATGTTTTCATAGTTTGGAGGCAGGGTGGTGTGCAGCAATTTCAGTGACCAGGGCTGCAGGGTGCTGTAGTGATGACCTCATTCATCATCATGTTTGTGGGTTGGGCATATTAGGCAGCAATCATTTTATTTTCAATCTTTTTGTGTTAGAACTAGGAAACCAAATCGAATAGATCTGGAGGAGTTTTAAACGGGTGGGATGTAATGGGTAGATGATGAGGTCAGTGACTTCCCAAAACTGAACCTCAAAGAAGAAACCAAGAAGTCAAGGCTCATTTTAGCATGTGGGACCCCTCAGAAAGTACAAAGTGGCTCCTGCAAACAATTACGTGAAACAGTCGAACGCTCGGACAAGGCTGAGGACAATCTCACACTGAGTGATCGCAGATCAAGAATTTATATATGGAGCAGCACAGGTGGAAGAAATCAGTATCCAGTAGAAGTGAGAGGAATTTTGAGCAGGTGCAACATGAAACAAGGGAGAAGCAGGGAATCCATAACAAGAAGATAAAGGGCAGTGTTATGTATTTTCCAGACACATAGTGGAGTTTTATAGCATAAACAAATTAACGTACCTTTAGTTAATATAAAAATGCTCTACACATCAAATAAGACTCAAAAGGAACTTGTAATTTAATGCCTTGAAATTGGCCATCAGTCTCTTTAAGAAGCTGCTGCTTTTTATGACACTCTTCCTTCAGGAGGCCATCACAACCGCTCCTCTATTAACTGTTCAGCGTTTTTACCAGCAATGCACTGAGAAGTAACTCCTATAATGAGGTCAGGAGATGCAGAGGTGTTTGCTATTTTCTGCTAGCTAGTCTGAAGGAGCTGAGTGCGAGGGGGGCAGGGAGGGGGGACTCGCAGAGGAAGGATGCTCTGGTAGGTGGAAGCTTGGAAGCTGCAGCTCGGAGGCGGCGCTAAGTCCACCCAGTTATTTCTCATAGCTGAATGGCTGACATGGGAGTTGAAAGACTTTCTCAAAAATGCATGAAAGAGTCAAAGCAACACTAAAGGTAAACATGTGATGAGGAAATGACATAATTTGATACAAAGCTCAAAAAGTCAATTTTATATCGAGCTGGCCCTTTAATTCAGGCTCTGTTAAAAGGTGACAGAATTTAAAACGCACAAGAAATTTCTGAGTGTGAGGGTAAACAGAGTCAAACAGTCAGGGTGGCCATTCTGGTCATAATGTTTTGCCCACTCGGCGTTCTTCTGATAATACTTTTTGGATTAAAAAAATATCCTAATGGTCGTTGCAGTTTACAGAACAGCCAGATGGTGGCAATAATATCGCATGTTTCTTTAAAGCCCTATGCGTTCAGACGTCCTTAAAAACGTTGGTTAAATTCATTCATAAGGTTGGTCTCAGTCCATATCGCTACATTTTCGCTGCAATTGATCATTTCTTTCACCCAATGCGGATGAGTCTGTGACTATCCGGTAACATGGAGTTTTCTGAAAAGCTAACACCTGGACATTAATGTTCAGGAGCAACCTGTCAGGTCTCCTTCAGCAAATTCATTCACTCACTTGTTTTCAGATCAAAAGACACTGAGGCACGCGACCGCACGTTTTTACGCAGGGGGGGAAATAAGCAATAAGCATTCACACACAAACACACTTAAAATCAGCCGCTTCACTGCAGATTTAAAGAGGCTCTGCAGCACGCGCACGCGGAGCAGCTGCTGCTCTTTCATTTCCACCTGTTCACAGTTCCGCACGCGCTTCCCGCTCTTTGAGGTCGCTGTTTATTTGCCCGCGCGCCGCGAAAGAGAGAGAGAAACAGAGAGAAAGAGAGAGAGAAACAGAGAGAGAAAGAATTAGAGAGAAAGAGAGACAAAGAGAGAGAGAAAGAGAGAGAGAGAGATTTTACGCACGGAGCGCTCGAGCGCAGCAGCCTCACATGACACCGCCGCACCGCCTCAGAGCAGCTCTCAGCTCAGCTCCGGCTGGCCGCCTTCAGCCGCCGCTCAATGAATGGATTACCCGCACGTTCGCTTCACGTCACGGATGATTGTTCCCCCTCATCAGCCGGCCGTCGCTGCGATTCCACGGTCGCCTCGCCAGGACTTGCGGACACTGCCACGCGGCGGGGGGCGCTGGTCTGAGAGCGGCTGAAGATCGAGTGGACGCGCGGCTGGCCGTCTGGAGAGCTCTCCGCGAAGTCCTGGTGTCCACGGCGCCGGGAGAACTCCCCCCCCCCCCCCCACCTGCCGGTTTCTCCTCGGTCTCAGATGTTCATCAGCGGGCTCGCGCTTCCTCGGAAATCTCTCCACCGTTTCCCCCGTTAATTATGTTCACTTTTGCTGCTTTCTGCTACATGCTGTCTTTGGTCCTCTGTGTCTCCCTCATCTTCTTCGCAATATGGCACGTGAGTATCTCTTTCTTTCTGAAATGTTTTGCTTCCTCTGTTGTCATGAGAGGAGTCTGTCATTCAGTCACTTGAGAGGCAGATGTTGACTGTCTTTGTGTTCCAGCGCACCTGTTTCACCTTCTATATGTATTCAGCATTACATCACTGTGGTCTCCACATATGGCTCTGTACTCTGACCCAGTTTGAGGTTCCTGCGGGGTTTGTGGCATGTCTGCCAGATCAATTACACAGCCTTCCTCCAAGATCAATTAGGAAATCTTGTAGAGCTTTATCTCTCCACGCTCCTGCTCTGCCCCTTCTGCCCCTTCTGCCTTTAATCATGCCCGAGCTCCAGCATCACTCACTGGTATTGTGGTATTTGAATAATCTCTTATTTATGTATTTATTTATTGGAGAGGGGGGGAATGGGGGCCTCTTTAAGCAATATCTCCATCATGCAGAGACTTATGTAAAGACAGATTTGGGTCAGAGTCGGCCTTTTTTTTTGTGTGGAAGCAACACCAGGCCCGATGCACTTGGGATGACCGATCCCCCAGCAGTCCCAGCTAATAGTTGGTGTGTGTGTGTGTGTGTGTGTGTGTGTGTGTGTGTGTGTGTGTGTGTGTGTGTGTGTGTGTGTTCAGAGGGGGCTCCATGTGTCTGCTCACAGAGCTGAATTAACATTTAGTACGGGGAGGAGACGACCGTGACTGCACAGTTGGAGGTGATTATGCAGAAAACTGCAGAAAAGACCAGAGAGAGTCTCCAACATCTTTCAGTTTGCTGACAAATGTCTAAAAAAGGCCTAAAACTAGAGCTGGGCTGATTGATCCACAATATTGATAACATCGATACCAAATCTGTGTCAGGATTGGATCGATACAAAAAAATTGTAGGAACTAAACATGACCAACAAAAAAACATCTAAAATCAGCTACCAAGTGCAAATAAAAATACTTCAATACACAAATGAAACTGACTGCTTCCCCTTCAAATTTTCTTAAGACTCAAATATTATGTCCAAAACTATGAATCTTATGTTAATACAGATGAAAATTTTCCTTTTATAAATTTTGAACACTGCCCACTAAAATATGTCACTTAAAAAATAAAAACTACAACATGCAAACACTTAAATCTTGTGCTTACTTCCTAATTAGAAACTTTGTTCATTTTTATTTCTTCCATCTGTCACAGAAATAATCTTAATTGAAATAATTGTCAGTATTTTTAATTTTAGCTTTATTTTATATACTTCAATCTCAGATTCCTAATTGAAATTTAGTTTTATTTTTACCTTGCAGTTTTTTTTTTTAAAGATTGTTTCTATCTATCTCAAATGATATTTTTTTAAAACTTTTATTTAAGTGAAATTAGTACAAGTCATGTTAATATGTCACTGAAGTATTTTATAGACTCCTATAAACTTTGTTCACATTCTGTCCTACTACAAAACCACAAGAAATTACAAAGTTTGAAATCCTGCACTTGAATAAAAAGTATCGGCGATATAGACCCTTGGTATCGGATCAATACCAGAATATGCAGTATCACATGCTTCTAGCTGAACTGTATCAAAACTTCAAGCATTATTCACATTTATTTCGCTTTCTGCTGGAGACACCAGTGAGGACAGATAGATAGATCTTGCAGACGCAGCGCATCATAAGCTGGGACTTCATACTGCGAGAAAACATAATTAGGAAGAGACTGTGCAAAGCCAAGTGAGCACATTAACACCAGCCACCTGCCAAAATATTCCCACTGTTTCACTCCTATCAGGAAACCCTCAAGATCTCATCTGGTTTCAAAGACCTGAGCTGAGGGGAACGGAAAAGGAAAAAAAAAAAAAAAAAACACAAACCGACTCCTGCTTCCATTTGGCCTCCTGGATGAGAGGTTAGGACAGCAATGCTTTGCTAAAAGAGCAAGTATGCTAAAAAGAGTCAAAGTGCCCAAGGCATAATGAAGCTATAAATATAACGAGGGAGTGTAAATTAAAGAACCAGAAGATGGAGGAGAACATGCAAAGAAAAGTTGATAGGAGCAAGTAATGGACAGTCCTGACTGAAGCCCATTAGAAGTTCTTTCAGAGGCTGATATGAGAGGAAAGTCTCTGAAGAGGAAGAGGAAGACAAATGGCTTCACAGAGATGGGCATCTATCAGACGGATCACATAAATCAAGCTCTACAGGCCAGCTGTAATTAACTGCATGGATCTTTGCGATTTGTGAGCTTCGCTGCAATACTTGGTTAGAGAGCTCTGACAATGTTAGCTCCCACAGGAAAACCTTGAAATGAATGAAAGGTGTTTGTGTTTATGTTTCCTAACATACGGAAGTGCTTAAATGCCAAAACTAGAAAATAAATACAGGAGCAGTATCTCTTTAAAATGAGAAGCTTTCTTGTTTTAATGAGACATGAAACTTGATTTATATGTCACCAAAACTTAAATTATTTCAAGTAGTGATTTGAAATAATGAAACAGCACTTTCACTTTACTCAAACATTTTTCACACTTATAATTATTCACTACTCATAAAAGTTGCTGAAACTAAGAAATACATGTCATGTCATTTTATTGATTATTGATCCCTACGTTTTTAATCTTATTTTAGTCATTATTTGGGGGGATTGTTTTAATGGTATCTTTGTGCATGTTTCAGTGGTTCTTTTAAATCTGATTTGATGACATGTTAAATTGTATCTTTTGTAATTTTGTGCTTATTGTCGTCATTTATGTTTTAAGTCCAAGTGCTGTGAAGTGACCAACTTAGAACCTTTATGGTCAACTTATAACTTTGTGGTCAGTTCAGGACTTCGGTTTTACATGTGTCTTTTTTTTATGTCAGTATGAGTTTTTATTATTATTATTATTATTTTTATTATTATTATTAAGTCTCCAAATTGTTATCTTGATTCTTTTTTTTTCTTTCTTGGCTCTGTCTTCATGTATTTTGTAACGAGGTTTTAATTTCGTTTTGGGATTTTGTAATTTTTCCAGTCAACACTTCAGTGCTGTTGTTTTTTCTGCTCCTTTGCTACTTTGTTCCCACAAGTCACAACCAGTTCTTAATATTTCATGGCGACCTACTTAGTAGCATAAGTTGCCCTATGCATACTTTTGCTTATTTTTCTATGTCTCTTTGTCAAAAAATTACAATAAAATAAAATTATGGCTAAAAATTTTATCAGTGTTTTAATTTAAATTTTTTTTTTTCTTTATTTTGAAAATTTGTGATTAGAAAGACTGTTAAAGTTGTCAATTTTGAGTAGTTTGTTCTTGGCAGAAATCTATATGTGAATACTAGTGTATTGGGTGTGTAGGAAGGCAATGCTGGAGCAGGTTGATCTGAGGCGCTATATCTTCTAATGCTATCATTAACAAAAGGAAGAGAGACAATACTATGAGGGAGGAGTTACACAGTACATGTTTAAAAGGAAATGGAAAACAGACGGAGTCAGTATAGTTATAAACTCTCACATGGGGAGGGCAATTTGGACTAAGATTTTATCACAATATTTTATGTTACTACTACTGTGAAAATGATAAAAATATTGATATATTTACTTCTTTTTTAGATAACTATAGGCTGTGACTGCATGTTCCATCATTCATAGCTGTTCAAACACAAATGCTGCACTTGAAAAACTTCTCATTTTTAAGATACGTCTTTATGATTCCAGTCACATAAAAAGTGTGATTTGCATAACTAAACCACACACAGTAACTGCATTTCATTATATTTTAAAATCTATTGGTACACTCATTGGACAAACAGTGGGACAAATAGTAAAACTAACAATCCTGACAATACGGACGGTTTCAGGCGGTTTTTAAGGATCAAAAATGAGAATTTATTGTCAAAACAGTAAATCAAATTCTTGCCATAGTAAGAAATTTATCACAATGAATGAATAACGACACAATAAATGCCCACGTCTAAAACAGTAGTTAAAATCAGCAAGTCAAGACACAACCCTGCTACATACCAGCAAAAAACCCTCCTGTGACATGTCTAAAAAACTGAAACTGTATGGAACTGAACTGAAATGTAAAGGTGGGCATTTCTGCGGTGCTCAGTCACTCTATATAATCACGGTTCTTTCCCCCTCTACCTCATTAAATCTAAGCTAGGCTGGTGCTGTGACAGTGCAGAGCATTATTCATGACTCTGACCACTGAAGTTGAGTTGCAACTTGAGTTCCAATACATGACAGCCACTTACAGTACGTGACTGCACACTGATCACAGAGTTGGTGTGACTGCTTGTGCCTCTCTAACTAGCAATATGTTTAGAAAAAAAGGATTCTTACCAGCAGTGCAAATTCAAGCCAAATTTCCAGCAAGGTTGGTCTGTTCAAGTCTCCTGGGACCATGCATGGAAGATCCGAATCAACTGGGAGACATACTATATAATTAAATAAACTGAACTCTTTTCTCCTCTGAAATCCTGTTATATTTTTGTCCTGGTTGGGGGAGAATGAGGAAGGGTGGTTATTACAAGTTATTACAAACTCATTTGGCATCTCAGCTGGACGCATTGGTCCATTAGGAATAGTGACTGTCATATCAATAAGAAGCACGCCTCGGGATGCAGTGACACTTTCACTGTTACACTTCGAACCAGCATGGAATCAATCTGTTCCTTCTAGGAAACTGAAACACTACAACTCCCAACGAGAGCACAGACATTACAGATTAGGAGACGTTCTAATTAACATGCGAAGTGAACTGCGACCTCTGCTGTGTGCCGCAGCCGAAAGCTTCGACAATCTTGCTCAGCTCCTGCAATTTTTCTTCCCGTATAAAAAAAGCAGCCCATAGCGTGCTCTTCAATGTCATTAAACCCTAGAAGCACAGCAGACAATCCCCAATGAATCTCACACAGACAGACTGGCATCTTCCACTCTGCTGTTGGGTTCTATGATAATGTGACTAGTTGGCTGAGAGGTTTATACTTCCTTAATACTGCCATCAGCCATAATATAAAACAACAGAAATGCATGAATGTATC